TAACCTTCGTGACTGGCAAGCGAGGATGCGTGAGTTCCCTGCAGCAGGCGAAGTGGATTCACGAAAGCTGCAAAATGCAGCTCGCCATCCAGAAATTCAACAGCACTTTGTTTTCGGGTAACAGCCTGACTTGCAACTTGTGTTTCACTTTGGGTCTGGGGGTACTGCGCTTTCGAGGACAAACCATGGCCGGAGCGGCCGGTTTGGGTTGGGGTTGAGCTGATGTGCAAGTCAGTCGCCTTGCAAGATCACGTAATGCATGCACTTCATCATTCACATCACTCAGCTGTGTTTTCCTTGTGCACTTCATCGTCGACCGAACAAGAACCCAGAAATCACTGTGACACTGGAGCTTTGCCAGGGTTGGCCGCGTTTGGAATTGGTGGTGCGTGGTGCTGATGCTCACGGACGACATCGACTCGCAGGTGGGGGACAGGGGGCGACCGGCGAGCCGTGTTTGACTGACTAAAGACTTCGTATTTTCCAGTGTGGACGAGTGATGCTCTCAACTCGCTACGTTTCTTTCCTTTATTGACGGTATTCTGTCTTCCATGTTCAGAGGGTTTGGCCGAGTGGTTGAGGAACGCGGAGTCACAAACATGAATTCTTGGGAAGGACCCCACATTGGGTGGTACAAATCCCCGTTTGCGATGGTGGAGAGAATGGATCAACCTTCTCTTGGATGATTTACACCAAGAGTCTCATTCGGGGCATGTTGGATCAAATTTTTCTAAAGGGATAGGAACCTCCAACTTTTGGCAGCCTCAGAACCGTTCCATTTGGAAGCGGTTTGTTCTCAGAACTCGGCCGAGCGGTTCAGCTCCTCTCGCGAGTTCTGAGGTTATGGAACTTGGGCTTTACCATCAACTCCAGGTCCAGTCGAGGCGGGGACGACAGCAAGCCGGGGAGGTATTTAAACTATTGTGGTCGATCGGAACGGATGAGTCCCTCACAAACCGATGAGTCCCTCTCTTCCAAGAGGCCTTGAAGTCTTCCCGTTTTCACCATCACCCTTGGCAGTTATTAAGTCACTGTAGAGACTTCAAATCATTGTCACATCTTTGGTAAACGTGGCCTGTGTTGCAGCCAATGGCTCGGTTTGTAGTTATGTAATATACAAGCTTACAAGCATATACAAGCGAGTTCTGATGGAACATGGTTATGGCCGCCATGGCCCCAAACTAGTGCGGCCAAATTCGTGGATTTCCCTTCTTCTGGTGTCCCTCTCACTACTGTGCAAGAATTTGGTCCACTTTCCTGCGAGCACTGAGGTGCTTTGTAAGTGTTGGCGTCCAACAGGTAGCAGCCCTGGAGAGCGTGCTGCTACGCCTTGCTGTGCCGGTTCTGCAGATGGTGCACAAGTGCACAAGAAGAATCAGAGTTCTTCATTTTGCAGATCATTGAACACTGCAAGCCTTTTAATTTCCACTTGTAAAATCCCGAGATGTGGAGGTTTCGGTTTCGCACAGATGGTGTCGCAGCCGGGTCTTTGGGGTCACAGCTCCTGGACAGCTACGTTGACCAGAGAGTGAATTGAAGTCATTTGGGTATGTTGGGTCAATTGCTGGACTGGCGTATTTTTACGTGGCTCAAGGAAATCGGCCCTGACAGGGCTCTTGCAAAGTTTCTGTGTTGCCTCTCCAAGGGGGCAGGGTTGGGCCTCCTCGGCCACACCACTTCACTCAACAGGAATTCAACTGGTCAAACTCTCCAAAAGGTCACAAGGGCTTTTTCCCCACCGTGTAAACGGTGCTCTTTTGCTCGGTCTGTGACTTTGCCGCCATGGCCTTGTGTGTCTCTGTGGCCAATCTCAGCGGCGAAACGATCTCCCTACAGGTTGGGTCCGCCGCACGTTCCACGTGGAACCGGGGCCGCGCTGTTCCGCTGGTCGACACGAGCCGACGATAGCCGACTATAGCCGACCTCGCCAGGTGGATCCGGAGCATTCCGTGGCGGAGCTCATGCGTCTCTTAGAGTTGAGGCAGGCACTGGCGTCCCAGTTTTCCGGAGGGCCGGCAGATTGGAGGCGTCGGTGTTGTTCTCTTCATTGCACATCTTTTTTGTTTGTCTTCGGTTCATCAGTTCTGGTTTCGGAAGCCCTTTTGGTTCTGAGACTTCTAGGACAGTGTCGGCATGAAAGCAACATCGAGCATCAAGCCATATTCGTTCTGCAATGCCAGGGAGGTTGGTTCGGGACATAATTGGCCATAACAGCGGTGCACACCCTGTTTCACTCGCGGGACTGTCCAGACCCAAACCACTGTTCTAACACTTCACTAGAGTGCAGCGCAGTTCAGGTGTCAGAAATAGGACCGTTGCCGCCCCTTTTGGAAGACACCGAGAGCGCGCGCGCGCGGCGCAAAAAACCACTCGTCCGTTCCACCGCTTGGTCTACCGTTCGTCTAACTAATAGCGATGCGCGTCCTCGTGTCGTGAGGAGCGTTGCTCCGATCTTGGGCTTAGTGACTTCAAAGGGCCTTCTGCAGCAGCATGCCAGGCTGACAGAGGGAGGGGGACAGGAAGGGTGGGTGGATGGCAATCGGTGAAGATCTGAAGTCCGAATAAGGAACTATCCAGACAATTTGCACTAGACTTGTCACTCTGAAGGCCCCTCTGCGTGAAGTGGGTTGGCCAGCATGTTCTGCACGTTCTTATTCTTTTTTTTTCACCCCCTTTCTTGGATGTGCAAAGAATGGGACCCAGCGGAATCTGGATGTGCTCTCTACTCTGACTGTCTTCATTGATAGCACCTGACAGGTTGAAGGATGCTCTGGGTGGGGAGTTAACAGCCACAATGGTTCATGGACGACGGGATCAATGCTACAAGCAGAGGCCGGGCTTGCCCATGGAATGTTTGATGAGTGGACACTCCGTGATGACTTCTTGAAGCAACACTGGAATTGTACATGCATGAATCTTTTCACTTGCAAGTATCTTGCAGATACTGATCAAAGGGGGAGCCATTCAAATTCAAGTTTGGCCAAAACATACTACGCAAAAACCGCAAACACTCACAGCCCCAAAAACCTGAGAGCCCCGAAACGGGTCGCCCGAACGTGGTTCCACCGGCTGAGCCGTTCCGCAGCTCCGGGGTGACGATGGGTGACTCCCCGTTCCACAGAACGGCCACCAGTTCCGCACGCGACCGAGGCTTTGGAAAGAAACATCGGCGTCCAAGCAGCGTCCCAAAAAAGGTGTTCCAATTGCTTTTCATTTTCCCAAACAGTGTGGTAAGACTAGGAGTTCCTACGGTATATGTCTGTTAAGGACGGGTGCCTGATCGAGGTGCTCGCATCCGTTTGCGGCTAATTCGCTGCTATTTACGGTACATTCATTCACCTTGAGATCTTCGAAGTGCATTTCGACTGCGCAGGCTCGCAGAATCTGGTGGGCCGGCGCTGGTGCTCTTCGAGAGTGCACTCTCGTTGTGGTGCCGTGCGCATTTTCGGGCTTGGTGATCACTTTTTGTGACAGGCGCAGGCGAAACCTCGTTTTTTGGTGGTCCAAAGTCGGCTTTTGCGTGACAGGTGGAGGAGATTGGAGCGGCTTTATGTCGATGAGCAGAGTTCGTGGCAGGCGCAGTGCTTTGGACATGGTGGTGGTCTTCTGTGTGCTCTGATTTCGTGGCAGGAGCAGTGAGTCGTGACTTTTGGACATGCGGGGTTTGATTGAGAAGTCGGAGGAAGTCTCGAGCGAAAGCTGCGTTTTGGCATCTTCATGTTGTCTTTGGAAGTGAGTGCTCTTGCCGTGAATCGTTTCGGCAGGGCTGCGCGATGTGAATCTTGATGTGTAGATTTTGTGCTTTGTGGACCTTGAAAAGCGCAGATTTTGTGGCAGGCGCAGGACTTTGTGGACCTTGAAGTGCAGACTACATGGCAGGCAGACTTATTTCGTGGCAGGCGCAGGACTTGGTGGACCTTGAAGTGCAGGTTTCGTGGCAGTGGCAGTACTTTGATGGACCTTGAAGTGCAGGTTTCGTGGCAGTGGCAGTACTTTGATGGACCTTGAGGTGCAGATTTCGTGGCAGGCGCAGTACTTTGTGGGGAGTGGGGGTTCAGTAGTTTGCGGACCTTGAAGTGCATATTTTGTCGCAGGCGCAGTGCTTTGTGGACCTTGACGTGGAGATTTTGTGGCCACCTTCATCATTATCATCACCACAACCATCATCACCACCATCACCTCCACCATCACTCTAGACCTTGGACCTTTAGACACACTGTTTGGGGTCTCTTGCCAGGACAGGGGGTTCCCCCTGCCAAACGGAGGTCCCCCCCGTCTCCAACTTCACCGTGGACTGGACCGGCGCGCAGGCACTGCGTGGCGCTGCGCCTTGGCGGTGCCGTGGCCGTCGTCGGCCGCAAAGGCCGCGGGGCGCTGCGGGAGCGGCTGTCAGAGGCAGGGAGAAGTGGCGATTGGAAAGATAATAGGTCGAAGAACCCAATGTTTCGGAACATAGATGACCCATGATGCGTGTTCACAGAACGCTTGACGATCATCCCATGTACATGCATGGATTTATGCATACTAAGTACTCCTAAGTTACTGGTTATTATCATCAGGTGGGCTGGACTTTAAAACCATTTCGCAACTTTCAGAGTTCTTTTGCAAATCATTGGCAGTCGCATGTTTGCCACTTGGCTGGGCTCGTCTGAAGGCGGGAACAGACAGCCCTGGAGCCAAACTCCTCACGAATTAAAGCCACGGAGTCTAAGTGGGGAGCTTTCAAGAACCATCGATCTGGATGCCATGAGGTGTTCCAGGCCCGGAAGAACCCTTGTGGATTGTCGAAGAACTCTTGTCGGTGATCATCAGGTCGTCCACTTACAAGCGACCAGAGAAGCCTTTGCAGCCATAAGGACTGGAAGGAAGACCTTCGCAGCTTAAAGGTTCTTGTATGATTCCCTGAAGGTCTAGGAAGAGTGCATTTGCTCGGTTGTTTTGGTAGAACTTCACCATCCTTCCCCGAGTTGCTCTTTTTCCCCAGGACCAACGGCGAAGTGATGGCCTGGGGCTCCCCGGACGCCGGTGGCGATTGCTCCGCCGTGGCCGCGCAGCTGGTGGAGGTCTGCGCCCTGCACAGCACGGATGGGGCCTTTGCCGCGCTGACGCGGTGGGGTAAGCTACTGACGTGGGGTTGTGCATGGCATGGCGGCGACAGTCGGGAGGTGTCCGAGGATTTGGAGCTGTGCTGCCAAGTGGTGGCCACGCGAGGTGCCTTTGCTGTCCGAAGGACCTCGGGTGAGGTGGTGGTTTGGGGTGATCCCTCCACTGGTGGAGATGTTCGGGCAACTGGAGAGCGACTGGTTCGGGTGCGAAAGCTCTTTGCGAATGCGGGCGCGTTGGCGGCGCTCCGAGAAGATGGCTCCATCGTGACCTGGGGAAGCCATGAGAATGGCGGGGACAGCCGGCAGGTTCAGTCACAGCTTGTGGATGTGCTAGAGATCCATTGTGCCCAGAAAGCCTTTGCCGCGGTCAGAAGTGATGGCCGAATTGTGACCTGGGGTGCACTTTCGGGTCCTGTCAAGCAAGCGCCGGAGATTCAACTGCAAAATATCCGTGAGGTGGTTGGAAGCAACGCTGGCTTCGTGTCGTAGCTGAAAAGAATAGTTTGAAGAGTCTTGTAGGTTAACACGTGATTCAAGTTGTGCAGAATCAATCTCAAATCTTGGATTTTTGAGGCAGCTATTCTTCAAGATGGCTCCATGGTGACATGGGGTCAACAAGATGAGTGCGATTGCAGTCATTTGCTGGAAGAGCTGTGGCTGGTCTAAATTGACCTGTTAAGGTGCAAGAATGAAAGCAGTTGGCATGCTTCAGGCAGAAAGTTTTGGAGACTTCAGCCAGGAACTTGCTGCTCTCCGACTGCTTGTCATTTTTCCATGATTTCTCACCAACTACAGCAGTCCTGGCAGTCCTCATGTTCCGTCATCTCTGAAAAATCCGGGTTCTCTCCTTTTCACCCAGGTCCACCTCCACGGTCCGTGAGCTCTACGCCACCAGTGGAGCCTTCTGCGTGCTCTTGGCCCACGGTGGCCTACGGTGCTTCGGCCGGAGCGACCTGGGTGGCGAAGGCGCCTTGGAGGAGGTGGTGCAGGTGGCTGCCACCTTGGGGGCCTTTGCTGCACTCAGGTGGCTTGACAGATGGAGGAAAAGAGAACATTTATATAAATGTAGATAGGGACAAAGTAATGGGGGTAGGGACCTACACCAGCCAGTGGTCATGTTGGAATAGGTACAACTCACTGGACACTTGCTGGATCATCGGACATCAGCACTCCTCCCCTTTGGCCCGAGAATCAGCCCACAACGGCCGATTCTCATTCTTCGCGAGGTCCAATGGCTCGGTAACGGCCTGGGGCCATCGACTGATGGGTGGTGAGGTGCCCTCGCACCTGGAAAGGGCACTCCAGAGCGAGGCAGGAGAGTTTGGGGGAGCAGCGTCTGTGTCACGCGGGGTGCACACGGGGTGCAGGCGACCAGGGGGCGCCCGGGAAGATGGTGGGATGAAGAGGGTGAACATCATGAATTCATGTGAGAGGATGCGGTGCTTGGAAGATCTCAAATCGAAGTAGTGGGATAAACATCTAAGAGTCTGTTTAGACCGCCCAACTGTTTCGTGAAGCTTGAAGAATTGGAGGTTCTCAGAGATTCACGAAGACGAAGAGCGTGTTCCACGGCCCTGAACGGGTCAGAACATGCGACTTACATCCTCGGTCTTCTTCTCAAAATAGTTTCTTCCTGAAAACATGAGCTGTGGTCTTGGTGGTCAGAGAATTTCTGTACCAAGAAGCCACACTTTGGAACTGTTCACAGCTTTCTCCAAGAGCCTTTTTCCACCTACTTTTCATCCATCCATTCATCCATCCATCCTTCCTTCCTTCTTTTCTTCCTTCTTTCTCCCTCCCTCCCTCCCTCCCTCCCTTAGATGAAAGGGAGTAATTACTACGATCCATTGTGAATGCACGTGAACTCTCGCTTGGAGTGATGCTTCAAGCGTCACCACCGTCCTACCAACAAGAAGGGAACACAACTCCGATTAATTGATTCTTCCTGCTAGCTTGATTATGGTCAGGGTGATGACAACGTGTATTGTTGAGGATCAAAATCTTGTACCAGCTTGCTTTCACAAATTCATTTCATCAAGTCCTCCACCATCAGGTTCCACTCAGCAATCCAGATCCCACACCAGCAAAGCCTTCTGAGAATCTGACCAAACATCGATCAACCCGTCCATGTCCCATGTCTTTTTTTGCCAAACCTCTTGGACACGACCAGCGTCGATGTGCACATCAGGCGAGTTTTGCAACCGCCAGGTCACTCAGGTGATCTCCTCTGAGGTGGCTTTCACGGCCGTCCGAAGTGATGGCTCTTTGGTACGCTGGGGACATCCTCACTACACCAGGAGTGCCACCGTGGTCTTTTGCTTTTGAAAAACCAGGGGAAAGACCTTGCATGTCATGGGGCCGGAAAAACAACCAGTTAATAACACGCATCAAATATTGTTATTATATTGTTTTGGACGGTTGGGGTTCGTTTTGACCTTTTCAAATTATGGTTCTATAGCATGTATCCCCCAAAAACGTTTGGGCTTCGTTGGACGCTTCGTTGGGTTTGGAACGACCTCTTCGCCTCGACAGGTGCGGCGTGATCGCCGCGTTCTGAAGCCAGTGGCCCACTGTCGACTCCGGTCTGTCCAAAAAGGGACAGACAAAAAGCGCCAAGCGCAATCGCAATTCCACGTGGAAATTCGAAGCCTGCCAGAGTTTTGTGGAGATAGAGACAGAGAATTCTTTGTTTTATCTTGGTGTCTGCAAGTGGAAGGAGCACGAGGTGAAACCTCTAAGAATCTAAGAAAATTTCAAAACACATTCCAACCACTCAGTTCTTGTCTCCACCGCAGTGCCCTCGCGGCGCCCAGGGGGGACAGCCCCACCAAGCGCACCAAGTCTTATGGGTTTTCAAGTTGCGTCTGGCATCGCCAACAGGTTCTGTGCTTATTTTTCATTCCCTTTCCCAAACCTTTATCCACTGTTCCCCCATGTTCGAAAACGCTATCGACAGTCTACCTGCATTTGGAACCGTGGCCGAACTGTCCAGACCTGGGGCCTCTGCGATCGCGCTCAAAAAGGTCCGTGCTTGAGTAATGGCTGAATTGTGCTTCGTCCATTATATCTAACATGACACTCTGCAGAAGCTGTTTAAATTAGTGCCTGCAGTTTGGGTTTGTCAAGTGCGATGGTGAAAGGCAAGTGAATGGTGAAGGTGTGCATTGAGACTCTCCCCACTGCTGTCAAGTACGGAACAAGGCGGAAGCCCGCCGCTTCGGGTTTCCCTTCATTTGAGCTACAAAGGAACCAGGATCATCACTTCTACAAAGGAACACAGGCACAGGAGGGCCAAAGGAGGCATGGCAGGTAAAAGCTCGCACCTTGCTGGTACTTTCACTTTGATGCATCGGCCACTGCCAGTTCTCCGCCTGGTACCCCTTGATGGAAGTTGCTTCATGAACATTTATATATCTCAAGATTCATCCTTCAACTCATAGCGTTGGCCTTAGGAGGTTCCTTGGCCACCACCGGTTCATGACGACTCAGCTTCGCCCGTTCCCTCTTCGCTCTGAGGCAATCGCTTTCTGTCCCGGTTGAGATCCTTCTTGCTGGGGTACGGAAACCTGAGACAGATTCGCGCGCATCGCGCTGCGCTTGGTACGCCTGGTCTCAGTTTCTTTCGCACCCCACGAGTTGGACCGGTTTCCGTCCATGGCTTTGCCACGCTCCAAACAGCTCCAAACAGTTCCCGGTCGTTTGGCAGCGACCTCACTGTAAGCGACCTCACCATCTGTCGACGCTGTCGACGCTAGGCACGTCCCACACCACAAAGCCACACCACCCGCAGCCTGAGGATTGTCCCTGAGTTGCAGAACCACGACACGCTGACGGATGCCAGTGGCAGCCGACCAGGTTTCAGGTGGAATTTTGGCGCGCGCGGGGCGTGGGCAAAGTGGCTTCTGGTTGCTTCTGATCTTGGAGGTGAACGAACGAGTGACAAGGGACCCGCAACTCGATGTTGATAGAGGGAAGCAAAAAGCAAGGGAGGTGGTTTCACGAAGCGAAGATCACTAATTAAGTTGACTCACCCTCCTGGGGCTGTTGATATTTGTGGATGATTTTGGGCTGCAGAATCAGGAGATTGGCCAGGAGTTTGAACCTCTTACAGCTATTGTGTTCCTTCCAGGCTTCAAAAAAGGCATCGAGCTTGGTATAGAATGCCAGATCTATCAAGACTCAAGACTTGATCCTTAGGGTTCACCATTTCGTACCTCGATTTCTTATGCTGGCCACCTCTACCCTGTTCGCCGCCTCCACCTCCATCCGCTTCTTCGGGCGATTTCCAGGACCGAAGACAGTGTGGACGTGCTTTTGAGGACCCATGATTTGGGTAGGACGGCTACGGGGTGTTGGTACTTTGCGAGGATGGTTGAGTAGTGGTTGAGTACCCAAGAGTGGGTGCTTCAATACTTCTGAATCAGGAGTACCTAGGGCCTTACCTTAGCCAGGCCTTTGCTATATTGCTTGATCCAAATATCCTGAAAATGCACCACATCAGCGTACAACGGACGTGGAGTTGTGGGGCGAAACTTCGTGCAGACCGGAGCGAAGGGAATTTGGTGCAGGATCAACATCATCCACCAGAACTTCGCATTGAATGGCATCGAGCCGCAGACTCAAATGCCACCAGTGGACGGCTCTTCACGGCCGAGTTTTGAAGCAGTTCCAGAGTCTTGTCATGCAGACATATACAGCATGCAATAGTTGAGAGGGCACGTCCACCTAAGCCCCTACAAAGAGGGTAAACCGTTTGGGGGTGTAGTTGTTGTTTTGGATTCGGGAGAGCGTCTGAGGACGGGTGTGGCCAAGTGAGAGCTGCTGGGGCTTAGGTGTGGTGGTCACATGTACATAGCAATCCAAGATCTTCTTCGTAGAACAAATACATTTCTCTCAAAAACGCCCAGATTGTCCTCTACACCATTGGCTTTGGGGGTGACTTCTTTTTCTCTCAATGCCAACGGCTCAAGAGTGCGGGTCATGTCATACTTTTCAAATCCTGCAGCTGAGAGCGGGGATATCTGACCAGCTGGAGAGTCTAAGTCCAGGAGTTCTTTAATTCTTGCAGTTGACAGAATGTGGCGTTGCAAGGTGTTTGGTTTTCCTTGACACATTTCAATCCCCGACCTCCAATGCCTCTTAGCAGGGCTGAAAGGGTTCAACGATTGCCTGTGACGATTGCAGCTCCACCGCGGTCTCACCAGGATAATGAGCACGATGTCAGCAGGCAAAGGAGTATCCTGCCAAATCTGATGTGAGTCAGCACGTTTTTGTGATGACTTGCTCGCTGAACAAATGGGCATGGATAAACAACTATGCATGGTCCATGGTGGTTAAGTAAGCTTCGCGGTTGGATCGCAATCGCACGCAGACCTATCTTGAAACACCTTCTCTCGTCCGACATGCCAGAGATCCAGTGTATCGCTGTCTTTGATGCTCTTGTGCGGCTGCGGTCATTTTGTCGGGCCCCAGCGTGGTTTGCCAAAGGTAGAAGATTGGAACGGAGCATACAGAGCAGTTTTCATTTAAAGTGCAAGAAGTGACAAAAGGACACAATTTGCTGATGCAGAGTAGTAAATCTTGACAAGATGGAACGACTCGGACCAATGTCTTCCGGTGCTAAGAGTAAGTTCTGAAGTGAAGTGGAATGAAGGGAACACATGAGCCCACCAGCCTTTATCCAAAGGGGATCATGGTTTCATGCCTTTTCAGAAGGAAAATTGAGCTGACATGAAACTTGGTGGCTTTTGGTCTTGAGTTTTTGTTTCGGTGGTCATTCTGGTGGTCTCCAGTTGAGAGGGCCCGTATACAGAAGTCCCGTTGGGCCCGTTGTTCTGTCAGGCCGGCCGAGGTCCTGGGAAGGCCCGTTGAGAGCCTGTATGCCCATCAGGCCCGTTGGGCCCGTTGGGCCCGTGAACGGCCGGTCATTCGTGAAACCCCGCGTGCAATTCGTGTTAGAAAACACTTTGGGTCTTTGTTGGGCAGGGCGTTAGTTTTTAGGAGACTAAGGAGCGCCAAGCAGCATGCGGATGTTGATTTCGTTGTCAGCCCGAGGTTACTGCTACACTCGCGGTGGCGAGCCCGCTGAGGGCCCGTGAAACCCCGTTGGCCCGTTCGGAGCTGTCCCGTCAAGTGTTTGCCCCCCCAGCAGGGACACCTCCCAGTTGAGAGACATGTATCTCGAATGGACTGCGCTGTCCGTCTTCGCCATTGGCTGGCTAATTGGATCCTGGACCGGCCTTGACGCTGAACGGAGTTCAGGTATTGAAGCAGAGCTAGATGGACAGTTGGCCACTTGGACGTCTCTTGACGATGTCAGGACTTGGGCAGGGGTGGACTACATTAATCACACACGGGGCATGTGCGACACATGAAGACAGCCATCAGCACGCGCATTGCCGTGGCAGGAGTACAGGAAGGGAAAGGATCAAGCTGGCCTCTTCTAGCGTGCAACAGCTCCAGCAGTGGATTCACCATCAAAGGCTTCAAAGTCAGGAGGGGGGAGACTGCGCATGTGGACTTCAGCATCTTCACGCCTTCATTCTGGGCTACATCGAACATACAAGGGAGCACCCCGCTGCAATTTGTCTTCAGTCGCTGAACTTCGAGAGAGCCTCATTGATGATTTGACGCAGAAGATCCGAGAGTCCGAGAAGGAGGGGCCGTGGCCCGTTTCGACGAGGACACGGTGAGGGAGATGGTGGCGGCATATTTGAGGCCACCAGTCGTGCTTAACTTGGCCACGATGAAGTTCCACGGCACTTCGGCTCAAGCCAGAACCAGCCCAGGCCGACATTGATGTGGGCCACTATGTGCGGATGGCCGTATGCACACGGTGGCCATTTGGTCATTTGGTGAAGCACGCGGCACCTTTCGAGGACCTTCCGTCAGAAGCGCTGCCATGCAGTAGGTGATTGGCCCGGTGGAACAGAAACGCCCTATTTTGCGCGTTTTCAATAAGGCTCTCCATTCAAGGCCTCGGTCATGAGAAGTTCATGAGCCTGCCAAGGTCATGACCTCGACGCGTTCCACCATCACAAAGCACACAGAGCCTCAGGTTGTCGTGTTGCAGGGCTGAAATTGCATTTTTGGAATGCATGTGGAGTTTCAAATCCCGGCTTTAGATTTTTTGGAGGCAGGTTTGGGGGGACTGCTGAAGCGTCTGGCTAATTTTTTGAAAGCTGGAACCCGAAGGACTAAGGATGCGCCCAAAAACGTGTTTACAAGAAAACGTGTAGAACTGCCGAACGCCGTGTTGCACCATGGCTGGCTCCTTGTGGCTCCTGGCGGCGCAGGTTGGAGTCGAAGTCGGTGCGTTCACCGGTGCCCCTTTCACATGAACGACAGATAATGACAGAGGGCTATATGCGCAAAGAAGGGAATGTTGTTTCTTGAATCAGAGGGTTGATGGATGCTGGCGTAGCCTTTGTATCACCAGCACGTCATTGGTGGCTTCTCCGCACGTTTTCCGTAAAAACCCACACATGCCGGCCGAAAGCCAATCTGGTCTGGGTCGCCCTGCCACGGCCCTCCAGGAGTCGCAGGAGGAGCGGGTCACATGTTTTAGTATTTCACTGTTTGCGATTTGTTCACGCGCATCCGTTCGCTTGAGTTGAATTTGAAAGAACATGAAGTGGCATAGATGATTCGATGATTATTCTAGGTGATGCTAGTGGGGAGTGCCGGTCTCAACTCGTTGTTTTCTTTGCGCTCATAGTTGCACGAATGCTGGTTGCAAGGATCAAAGAAGGGAACGCACTGGTGCACATTCTTTCGCTTCCTCATGTCATGTGGCCCATAGGACGAGTGTGAGAACGTGGTGCAGCTCTGGAAAAAGATGGCCGGTTCATGGGGGACACGTGTCGCCCGTGCTGGAGGGTAAATGAGTTTGTATTATACTAGGGCGACCTCCCAACCAATGGATTTAGTCTGTTTCTGCTTTCCCCAAAGGTCTTTGGGGGAGTCTCCCGAGTCTCCCTACTTTAGTACACACCCAGAGTTTTTTTGTTTTCAACCCGATAAGCTGAGTATTATATCGTTTGAACTGTGTTGAATTGGTCTCTGGATTGTCTTAGCAGGTTCGGGCCGTTTCAACGCTGGCATGAAACCTGGATTGCGGGTCTCTCTTTCAACGGCAAGATCGACCCGAAACAGAAACGCTTTCGACAGTTTCATTGGCCTCTTCTTTTGTTTGAGTGTGCATCGGCCAACGTGACAGGTCGAGGATGAGCGCCACTTTGCCTTGATGTTAGATGTGGGGAGCCTGGTCACTTGCGCACGAGAACTGGCAAAGCGAAGGTGAGAAAGTGATGCAAACTTTAAAAAGGCATGGTTCACTTCAGTGAGATGTATAGTGAGATGTATCCATCGGGTCATCATTAATCTCCATTTAAAATTGTGGAATTATGTGGCTGCCGTGCCGGTCCATCCACAAACTTTTTGGTGGAGCTTGACGTCCTGTTGCTCACGGGGCTGCGAGCCACTGGGAGTCACCTGAGGATTGCATCAGTTGGTCATGAGCTATATAGTCAGTTGGTCTCATCTCTACAAACCAAGCGGCGAGACCAAGCTCTCCTAACAAACCTGTTTCATTCGTCCGCCAAGAAACTTGAGGGGATGAGTAATTTGAGGGGACGAGTAAGAGCAGGTTTCCTTTTTGTAAGCTTTGCAATTTTCATGGGGGAACTCAACCACTATCCTCCATCTATCCATCTTCACCCAACCACCTTGGCTTAGCTTAAGCTGAGGTGGGCCTGTGCTTGATGACCCTGGTGGCCCTGGGTTCGATCTCCTTCATCGTCGGTGGATGGGCCCCTCGGTTTGGACTATGTCGCCGCGGGGCCTCTGGGGACCCACCGAGAAGAGAAGGGATCGTTGCGGAAAGGCAACCTGCCGATCCAAAATGAGAAAATTGAGATAAGATCGAAGCATGCAGTTTGGATCATTTGGGATATAGAAAGCAAACTGCTCAAGCATGCCAAGTCCATAGAAGCAGTTTGAACCCATCGTTTTGCTGTATTTTTGAGAGCATTTTGAGGGCATAGAGCGGCAGCGCATGATTTTTTTTGTTCTCTCTCCCTCTCTCTCTCGCTCGCTCGCTCGCTCGACAGGACACCCGGTCTCCCCACGGTAGCTCAAGCTCTTTGTGTTCGATGGCTCTGAGGTGAAACCACGAGCTCCTGGTTACTGGACCCACAGGCGCGTGGCGGATTCGATTCGAGCTCTCACTCTGATTCGATTCGAGCAGTGAGGGCAAAACCAGCAGCCGCCATCGCTTTACAGATCTGGGCGTCTTCTCGCGCTGCGCACCATTCGGCTCGACTGCAAGCTGTCAAAGACAGCACGCCGTTAGAGTCTTGGAGCCCAATCGACTGCCATGGGCAGCGGAGCACAATCGAAGCTTTCGGAGTCTTGGAGCGCTCAGCTCACGTGAGGTGAGGAAGGACAAAAGGATCTGTCGATTGCAGGTGCCTGGAACACCTGGAACGAAGGTTCCAATTTGGGGAGACCCCTTCTGAGACTTTTTGGTCGGCTGGAATGGTCTTCGAAAGCCAAAGAGTTGGTTTCAAGCCTAGCTTCTTTCAGCCCTAAGTTGACCCTTCCCAGCGAATAAGTCGAAAAGCAAAAGCCTTGTGTCCCCCACTTGCCAAAAATACAATCTTCGCTGATTTCCTCCTCTTTCGTCATTGCGCGCTGAGGAGGCGTCGGCTGCAGAGGTGGCATCGGCCTATGGAGAGCTTCCATCGGAGGCACTTGGCGGCGCTTGGCGCTGATCTGCAAGCAAACATGTAACGAAGAGGAGCAATTCATTTGGGGCACAATTCTATGAATTTATGCTAGTTTGGCGTAGCAGAGGAGCAGTGCGGTCTATACCCCCGCGGGTAGGTGCACATCCTCTAGTCACGAGTAGAGGTCCTTTGTTGGATTTGAAGTACCTGCGTGTACCTGGTAGGTACACCGCGACCACACTCGGTTTAACTTCAACTCTTTGGGACCCCAAACATGCAAAAAGCGCAGCAAAGACCGAAGACACCTGGTGCTTTCTCCATCTTTGGCATGTTTCATGCTTTGGGTGGAACCCGCGCGGGTGGACCGAAAATACGAAACACCCACCGGCTTCGAGCCATGTTCGTGTGACTCCGTGGGCTTCGTTTCATCTCAGATGCGAAACACCGCATGGATTTTTGACTCCAGCTCCGCATGTATAACGCAGGGCTGTGCCAGGCGCAGAAAAGCTTGCAGGAGGCTTTGAAGCTCTTGAAGGCAGGGTAAACCCCCGACCGACACTGCCGACCGACGGGACGGTGAGACCGACGGGATGGTGAAACACTCGGGTTTGGGGGGAAAGACTGCGGATAAATACACCTTGGCTGGGCACGTGAAAAAGAAGCACTTGTCCAGAAGTATCAACTCTTGGTAGCTCTAGCAGTAGCAATTTTCATGCTTGGTTGACAGGCGATTCCCATTTGTTTTGACAGCTGAGACAGTCACCATTCCAGTCTTGAAAAGAGGATCACCCATAAGTTTCAGTTTGTATCTATTTAGCAGAATTTAGCATTTGGTCATGGAACGTGCAAAACTCATGAAACCTTGGAAACGACTGAGCTCAAAACCAAAGCATCTGTGACGAAGAGAGACGGTGGTGCTCTTCCCAACATCAGGACATACGCGGTTTTCCCAGATGTTGGATCACTGCGCTGATGTCCGTCACCGCGCCTCATGTGTCCCTTTGCACAGCTGTCCTGTCTTGGGTCACGCCTCGTATGTCCCACAGCCTCTCACCACCCTTCGATGTCCAGTCGCATGAAAATCCAGAGCAAGAGACCCATAGACTTCTTGTCGCCATAGACTTCTTGTATCCAAAATCTTTGGACCAAACAAAACCGATCTCCCTCATCTTCCAGGCGAAGACCAGCGGCACCTTGACCTGTCGCTCCAAGCTCTCAGGAGAGGTGATGGCGACCTTGGATTCGTCCCAAACCTGGACCTACAAAGAGATGGCGGCCGCATTGCGCGAAAAGCTGCCAGAAACGAAGACTCAGGCGGTTTCTGTGGCCCTGATGGCGGTGTGGGAGTCTGGTTGGTTGAAGGGTGTGCTTTTTGCGTTCCCTGCCAGGTCATTAAGTTCTTCATCGGGGAGGAAGCCATCGCCACTTGTCTGAGTCTTGTCACCCATGTGGCCCCATTTCACCTCGGCACGTTCGATTTAGGATGAGTACAGGGCCTTGAGTGACATGGGCTTTGCAAATGGAAGTGGTGAAGTTCAATGTGCTATCTCCCAGTTCGACTTTGGAACCAAGTGTCTTGACTGACGATGGGCAAGCTGTGGAACGGGTTGATACGGCCATGAGTTTTAAAGGTGTCGGGACCTTCGGAGTGTCAAAATTTGGACATCATCACGTCTGATCAAGCTTGCGGATCGGAATCGCATGCCGTTCCAAGTTTTGTCGGAACAGCCCGAGAAGCGGTTTCGACGCAGGATGACGCTGGAAGAGGCGCAGCCGATTCTCGAAGACATCACGGAGAAGCTCAATGGACTGGTCCGGCTTCGCTTGGGCGCGCGGTTTCGGCGAACCCCCCGCGTGAACCGGTCCAAGAGGGTTCGGAGAAACGAGTCGTATGAGCTAAAGATTAAGAGGTCATTCGATGGAACAGATGGAAAGGATGCTCAAATGATCAACATGTCGACTATCTGAATCTATCTGGCCCTCCAAGCGACGTCGAGCATTTCTACTAGTGAAAGACTTAGCTTGGCATGCTGTTTGTCTACCACCGGCAGCAGTTCTGGTCATCGACTCGGCAGGAAGCGCGTTCTGAAGAAAGTACATCAAAAAGCGAAAGAACCTTCCCTGATTCGTTACATCCTCACTGCCTCGATCTTCCGCCGTTCTTCCTTGTCCTGGCATGGAAAACGGGTGAGTGTTTTCCCCGGGCCACCGATGCTCAACCCACTGACATCAATGGACTTGCCAACCAGTGTTTTTTCGTCCTACGCCCCTTTGCGCAGCAGCCGGCTGACCCCACGGCCGCCCGCGGCCAGTCGAAAGCGATGATCATGGAGATCAAAGCGCTGAAGAGTCCGCCTCATGGGATCATCTTGGTGGGCGAGGCCGTGGCCTGCTTGTTGCAAGCGCCGCGGGCCAGCTGGCACGATGCTCGGCAGCAAGGCTGGTGGCGAAGATTTTTGGGGAGGTTGATGAAAAGGTCATTATATAGAGAAGGATTCCTCAGGCAGAAAGCATGGGATCGACTTGACAAGGCCGAAAGAAGGAGTTGGTTCATGGGCCAAAGTCTCTATAGTGATTCCCCAATGGATAGAAATGGTTTCCTGTTAGTGGTGATCTTCTTTTCTTTCTATTTGGGGGTCTATATAACATATATATATATATATTGAACATATAATGTACTTGGCCAAGTGGCACTGGTTTCCCCATCCAAAGCCAGATGGGACCGTGGCAGCTGACCGCAAAAGGCCAAAAGTCTGCGAGGGGCGGAATGAGACCGGTGTGGTTGCGGAGTAGAGTGACTGTATATGTGTTATATGGACCCAGCATTCCAGGTACAGTGGCTTTCAGAGTAGATGTGGCACAAACCTAAAGATGTCTTTTAGATCCAGGTCGATCCATACCACCTTTTGGGGACTCTGCCATCTACTCTGAAACCACTGTACTTGGCAGAATTGAGGGCTATCAAAGTACATCCGGCCGAATCAGCCAGCCACTCATGCCGGCTGATGGAATCAGACACCAAAAGTACCTTGCGGCTGGTGGCAAGGATGCATCCTATAATCAGAAAAAGTGACAACAGACATAGACTCATAGAGGATGGCAGCGTTGTTGGACTGGAGCTTGAGGATGACCATTCTATCTTTAATTCCATCTATATAAAAGCGGCCCCTTGGTTCTTCAGACTCCCCCAAGCAATCACACTGAGGACTTGCTGAAAATGTTTGGTGCCAAGGAGATGACGTCAATGCTTGGTGCTTGAGACAAAAGTGGCGTCCTCCTTTGCAAGTCTTGTTGAAGCGAAATCGTGGCAGGTGATGCGATTTTCGAAGGCATTGCCAGACCAACATGATAAGAACCCACCGGTGACGAAAGTGGGGGAGCTTCGCCACCCACCAGCACGATGACGGACGTGACATGTATCTGAATCTTATGGTATCAAGACTTGGTAGGGCACGTAACCATTGCTTCCCAATATCTCTCTCTCTCTCTATATATATACATACCCGGACCCTCAAGGGGTGGTTAATGGACACCCCTTAACAGCCAAGGGGCTATAAATAGACACCCCTTGGAGGGTGGTACACACATACATACGTATTTATGAGGAATGATTAATGGTTCCTCACCTGTCTCCACCCGTGTCATCTCTCCAGGACTTCATGGAGCAACTGGTGACGTTCAACAAGGATGAGGTGGGATTACTCACAGAGGTGAAAGATCCAGGACACCCCAAGACACCCAGGAACTCTATAGCCAAGACAAGACAAGACATGACAAGACAACTTTAACAAAATGTGAAACATTTGAATTTGCATGTATTTTCTTCCTTGGTTGTGGAGAGGATGAAAAAGAACAAGCTTGGTTACTGGTTTGCCACATGTGCGTCTTCCAACATAGGTCACAACGATCGCTCACGGTGTACCTGGGATCATGTCCAAGGTTTCCCATGAACATCCTTTCATTCTCTGTTCAGAGACCTTGATCACTCATCAGCTAGGCAAACTGGCCATTTATTCCAACGAAAACACTCTAGTTGTTAATTTTTGTTCCACTTTAAACTCTAGAATCATAGAGCTGTTCCGAAGAAAAGAATGAAGACGAACTCTCGGCGAGCCCTCTCCAACGCTTCTCCGGTCGCTGGGTGGGTCTCTCGCTGCTCCGCCCGTACCAACCGGCCCTCACCGCGCGACCACCGGGCAACTCACGTCATCCGAAAATGCCCAGAAACAGCAAGCTGTTCGGCATATCCAATGCTGTAGAAACATCGTGCCACAGAACGGAGCAAAATCGCAACGAAAATGCAACAGAAAGCATTGAACACACAAGCGTGCTTGCAGTTCAGCACACCTGCGAGCACACCGGTAGCAGTTCCACCAATCCGAGCATCTGGGTCATGTCTTCCTCTTTGCCGCAACAACCAGCCGAACCACTGCCTCCAAGTCTCACTGCGATGCATCGTGATGCACGCACTGAGGTACTACCATGTCCAGTAAGCATTGCCGAGTCAGAAAGCTGAGAGGAAAGAGTCCACTCAGGCAAGGCAAGAAAGCAGGCTTTGAACACCAAATTGGGCAAGAGAAAATTGCCAAATCAAGCGGAGAGTTCTCTGCTGGATTTGAGGATCTGCCAAGAAAGGCCACACAAAAGACACATCCAGTCTCTGAAGAGGTATTGGTGGCCGTTGAGGTCGATTGAGGGACCAAGCTAGTAAGTATATAGCCCCCTGTTCCGCTTTCGCTCCGCTTTCGCTCCGCTTTCGCTCCGGCCCCCCCGGTGGCTGCTCTCAAGGTGCCCATGGAAAGTCTGGTGGAGCTGCAATGGTATTTGAATCACCCCCTCTTGGACATCGACCGTCTCAATCGGGTCTCTGCTGGAAGCTGGGCGCGAGGTGTTTCAGCTCGCTCCACGGAGTCCGTGGGAAAATGGACACGAAGAAACGGACACACGAAGAACACACCACCGGTGGGTCAACCTGATCACGTCTTTTGAACGTTTTGCAGGTTCGAGGGGCGGAACTGCAGGCCCTTGAATTCTCACCGCGTTTCTGGAGGGGTTTGGGTATTTCTGGGTGAACCCTGGATCGCTGAGGCGCCGTTTGTATGATGCACTGGGCGCGGGGCATGAGCATGTACGCCATGCTGAAGAATCGCGTCTCATGAGTCCACATCTGCTCAGTGTGATGTCCCATTTGGAAGGACAGAGAGCAGATCCACCTTAGGTGGAACATGCGAAACAGAGCCATTGAACTTATTGAAACACCACCCCAAACAAGAAAACGTTCTCGCGCTCTCGCATGGTTTCAATCAACTCCTACCTTGGCTGCCTTGGTTTCCCGGTTTCACCAGCTCTGGAGCTGGCACCAGCCCGTCCTCCATAGGAGGCGGCCAGAGCAAGGGGCTAAGAAAAAAGGTATGGATCCGTGTTCAGGGGTTCACGGGCAGGTGAACCTTGATCACTCGTCAAACTCCATTTTAAAGCGCAGGGCTTTTGCTGGTTTCTGCCGTCCTATTTACGGATTTGGGAGTTTTGATTGGATTGCTTATCAATATGTTCTCTTCATTTCACCATCATCACCTGCTGCAGGCCCTGGAGCCCTTTCAGGGACCACTACTACTCTGAGGCCGGGATTGGAGGGAACCAACGGTAGCAACATGTTCCCGCTGTCGAAGAAAGCCATGGGGAAAACCACTTGTCATTATTTGCAGGGTTGCGCTTCTCAGGTGACGACCCTTTTTTTGGTTTCAGGACATTTCTGGTCAAAGAAGTCTTCACCAGGTGCAACATAATTCTGCCAAACATATAGTGATGTTGGGACTGCAACGGTGAAATTCGGATATGCAGGTGAGCGTGCTAGGCCACCAGCCTGCCTGGTTTCTTTTTTCACTTTTGCTGTCTCTAAAATGCTGGGTGGATTTGGATGTGGATACAGGATGTGTTCGTTGACTGTTCACTGAGCATGAAACCAAATTCAGGTGGAATACCCGTCATAGCTGGGCTTCGGCCCAAATGCCGCATTCCTGGGTTCCGCCAACCGCACGACCCGTCAACGTCGGACACCTCTACCCGGGACCGAGGCATGTAAAGCTGATGTATACAGCATGCCTCCGCCACGGTCCCACGGTCGTGCGGAACAACCGTGCTGGGGACTCCAATTTCGTGTTTTTTCTCCGCCACATCGTCCACTCAAGGGCCCGGACTCCAGCCCAAGGCCCCAGAAAATATTCTGGGCGATGATATCTGAGGTGGATGTCACAGAAGAGTTGCGTGATATCGTGCAGCAGCTCTTCGATTTGTGCACACAGTCGGAGCCCGGGGGCAAGGTGGAGCGGGGACGATAGTTGAAACTTAGGACTTAGGCCATGAAGTCGACTTGAGCATGCAACGGCCTTTTCGCGTGACCTTGGCAAGATCGCTTGCGCTCTTCCCCCGCCAAAAGATGGAGAAGCCACTAGAGGCTCCAAGAGCCCTCGATTTTGCTTCGTCTCAAAAATCGGGGTCCAACGGTCGCGAGGAGAATATGGGTCAAGGAGAAGATGGGAAATGGGTGAGTCATCGCTCCTTCCGGGTGACCCAGGCTCCCGCGATGACCCGGACCGCGTTTCGGACCGCGCGTTTGGGCGTCCGTGGCGTAAAGAAAGGGCGATCACGTCGCGAGATACTGCAAGCATTGACCATTTTGGGCGCCCGGAGGGTTTGTGTGTTCTTCCAATGGACTCGTAACTGCGACTCCACCATAAGGATAACATACACTACCCATTCACCCAGAAGGGATCACAGAAAGCCAATAGTGTTTCATTGGGCACGACATGTTAGGTGGCTTTGGGAAGGTCCTTCTTGCCCTTTTCAGCTCACCCAAGTCATCCAAGCCGCAACAGGGAATGACAAATGTCATGGTCATTCCGAAGGATCACAGTCACAGTTCTCCGCTCCGGAAACAAACACATTCGAGAGCCAGGTCAAGACAGGATTTGATCCCCTGATCGTTCCATTGCTGATAGTTGTATCATCTACTTTACTTTCACTCCAGGTGTTTCTAGAATGGAAGAAGTTCAGAAGGTGAGGCAAAGGACACCAAAGTTAGACAGAACATCTTTCCAACGTTTGCCACCAACCCCAAGGGGGCCTTCCGAAAGCAAGACACCAAGTCATCATTCTCACCTCAAGACGTTTTCACGACTTCAGGTGCACCGCATCGAGAACGGGCCGCTCTGGTCCAGTTATGCGACGACCAAGAAATCCATCCCGAAGTGCCAGGCGTCGCCCGGGTCCTCGCCGGTGGGATGGACGGAATGGGACGGAATGGAATGGAATGGATGCCCCTAGTAGCTTCTTGTTACTACTAGTAAGGCACTTGTTACTAGAAGCGATGCACTTGTTACGAGTAGCTTCTTGTTACTACTAGTAAGGCACTTGTTACT